TGGGTCATCACCTGACATCAGCACAAAGATGTGGCTTTTGGCTCCACGTTTACTTGATGTGTTAAGGATTTTCTTGGTTTGGGTTGTTTTTTCTTTGTTTTCAGATGCAGAGACCTCGGCCTAGGAGGCTCTAGGCACCGGAGGGGAGGTGATCCGGGTGACTACCGGTGAGCAAGGTGAGCATTGACTCCAGGCCAGAAATAGATGGATTGTTACAGGTGTTGTGGTAAATCTGTGCACGTGCCCACGGAGTGCCCAGGCTGCGCCACCAACTGCACCTCAAAGCCAAAGCTCCCAGGCTTTCTGTCCTGGGCAAAGGGCTGCTGATCCCTTTGGTCAGCCCAGAAGAAGGGGCCTGACCCTCAGGCTCTCGCCTGCCCTACGTGCGCCTCGCTCGGCTCTACGTGCGCAACTGGGGCTCCCGGCCCCGGCGCCTCCGGTCTTGGAGGAATCCTCGACCGTATCCGATTTTGGCCCCTGGCCGGCTCCGGGACGGCCGGCGCGCCGGCCTGCGAATGACGGCCCTTTTTACCCAGAAGAAGGAGCCTGACCCTCCGGCTCTCGCCTGCCCTTTCAGAGCCTCACTCAGCTCTACGCGTGCAGCTGGGGCTCCTGGGCCCGGCGCCTTGAGTCTGGAAGGAATCCTCGACCGTATGCAATTTAGCCCCCGGCCGGCCGGCGCGCCGGCCTGCGAATGACGGCCCTTTTTGCCCAGAAGGAGGGGCCTGACCCTCCGGCTCTCGCCTGCACTTTTTGCGCCTCGCTCAGGTCTACGCGTGCAGAGGGGGCTCCCGTCCCCGGCGCCTCCGGTCTGGGAGGAATCCTCAACCGTATGCAATTTTAGCCCCCGGACGGCCGGCGCGACGACCCGCGAACGATGGCCCTTTTTGCCCAGAAGGGGGGACCTGACCCTCCGGCTCTCGCCTGCCCTTTGTGCGCCTTGCTCGGCTCTAAGCGCGCAGATGGGTCTCCCCTCCTTGGTGCCTCCGGTCTTGGAGGAATCCTTGACCGTATCCAATTTTAGGCCCCGGCCGGCCCTGGGCCGGCTGCTGCGCCAGCTCGCGAACGACGGCCCTTTTTGCCCAAAAGGAGGGACCTGAACCTCCGGCTCTCGCCTGTCCTTTGTGCGCCTCGCTCGGCTCTACGCGCGCAGCCGGGGCTCCCGGTACAGCCGGTCTGGAAGGAATCCTTGACTGTATCCGATTTTGGCTCCCGGCCGACTCCGGGACAGCCGGCGCGCCGGCCCGCGAACAACGGCCCTTTTTGCCCAGAAGGAGGGGCCTGACCCTCCGGCTCTCGCCTGCCCTTTGTGCGCCTCGCGCGGCTCTACGCGCGCAGCTGAGGCTCCCAGCCCTGGCGCCTTCGGTCTGGGAGGAATCCTCGGGCGTATCAGATTTTGGCCCCCGGACGGCCCTGGGCCGCAAAGAGCGCCGGCCCGTGAACGATGGCCCTTTTTGCCCAGAAGGACGAGCCTGACCCTCTAGCTCTCGCCTCCCATTGTGCACCTCGCTCAGCTCTACGCGCGCAGTCGGGGCTCCCGTCCCCGGCGCCTCCGATCTGGGAGGAATCCTCGACCGTATCCGATTTTGGCCCCTGGCCCATCCCGGGCCAACTGGCGCGCTGCCCGCGAACGACGGCCCTTTTTGCCCAGAAGGAGGAGTCTGACCCTCCGGCTCTCGCCTGCCCTTTGTGCGCCTCGCTCGGCTCTACGCACGCAGCCGGGGCTCCTGGCCCCAGCACCTCTGGTCTGGGAGGAATCCTCGACCGTATGCACTTTTAGCCTTCATATGACCGGCGCGCCGGCCCGCGAATGATGGCCCTTTTTGCCCAGAAGGAGGGGCCTGACCCTTTGGCTCTCGCCTGCCCTTTGTGCGCCTCGCTCGGCTCTATGCGCGCAGCCAGGGCTCCCGGCCCCGGCACTGCCGGTCTGGAAGGAATTCTCGACCGTATGCAATTTTAGCCCTCGGTCGGCCAGCGCGCCAGCCCGCGAACGACGGCCCTTTTTGCCCAGAAGGAAGGGCTTGACCCTCTGGCTCTCGCCTAGCCTTTGTGCGCCTCGGTCAGCTCTACGGACGCAGCTGGGGCTCCCGGTCCCGGCGCCTCCGGTCTGGGAGGAATCCTCGACCGTATCCGATTTTGGCCCCTGGCCAGCCCCGGACCGCCCAGCGCGCCGGCCCGCGAACGACGGCCCTTTTCGCCAGGAAGTAGGGGCCTGACCCTCCGGCTCTCGCCTGCCCTCCGTGTGCCTCGCTCGGCTCTACGCGTGCAGCCGCGGCTCGCGGCCCCGTCGCCTTCGGCCTGGGAGGAATCCTCGACCGTATGCGATTTTGGCCCCCGGTCGGTGTGCCGACCTGCGATCGACGGCCCGTTTCACTTGGAAGGTGGGGCCTGACCCTCCGGCTCTCGCCTGCCCTTCGTGCACCTCCCTCGGCTCTACGCGCGCAGCCAAGGCTCCTGGCCCTGGCGCCTCCGGTCTGGAAGGAATCTTCGACCATATCCGATTTTTGCCCCCGGTTGGCTCCAGGCCAGCCAGCGCGCCAGCCCGAGAACGACGGCCCTTTTCGCCAGGAAGGAGGGGCCTGACCGTCCAGCTCTTGCCTGCCCTACGTGCGTCTTGCTCGGCTCTACGCACGCAGCTGGGGATCCCAGCCCCAGCGCCCCTGATCTGAGAGGAATCCTCGACCGTATCTGATTTTGGCCCCCGGCCGGCCCTGGGCCTGCCTGTGCACCGACCTGCGAACGACGGCCTTTTTCGCCCACAAGGAGGGGCCTGACCCTCCGGCTCTCGCCTACCCTTTGTGCACCTCGCTTGGCTCTACGCGCACAGCCGGGGCTCCTGGCCCTGGCGCCTCCGGTCTGGGAGGAATCTGCGACTGTTTCCGATTTTGGCCCCCGGCCGGCCTTCACGCTGGCCTGCGAAGGCGGTTCCCTGGAAGCCTCTAAAATCTAAAAATCCTCCTGCCTGTCCAATCCTGGGTCCCAGGATGGCCTGCACCCAAACACTGGCAACCAACTTTGCCTCACGGACCGGCCACTACCTGGGAAAAAAAACCGCAGCCGAAGTAAAAAAGAAATTCCTCCAGCTAGGTTTTTTTTATTCTAAAGCTAAAATTATCTAACAACAACCTGTAAGAGAAACAACACAAACACTGGGTTAGAACTACTGCCAAAGACGCACAAACTTTTTCTATCCTCACACCTCAACCGCTCCGATAGCTACCGGACAATCAGGGGCCATTGCTACGCATCCACAGCCCTCCTCGGGAACGTGGTTGCCATGGAGTCTCAAAAAAAAAACAAACCAAAAAGGAGCAAGTTGCGGAGCCTAACAAAACATGCACGCCCCTCATGGCCGAGCACACCCCTCACAGCCTTACAAGACAGTACCAAAGACAGAACACAGAAAGCAAAACTATGTAAGGTACAAAGCTATACAATTCCTAACTGACGCACAGCAATACAATGCTGTGACATTCACATACAGAGCAATACAACTGCAAATATACAAGTATACCAGACAGAACATTACATGGCAATACAAGTGACACGACATAAAAAGTGCTACAAGCAAAGGTGCAAAGATATACGGTTCCTGCCACGCAGAACACGACACCGTGACGTTTGGATATGGACCGATAGACTACAACTATACAGCTATGTGATATGGAGCAGTATAACGCAATACAAATGACAGCATAAACGGCTGCTGGACTTTTCCTATTCTACTTGGAAAACACAATAACTACACCTAAGAAGCAACTTGCAACACTAAATAAACATATACCGTGCTCTACACATGCAGTCCAGAACTCATTGGGCAGGGACTCCCTGTGGCTTTCAGAAGATTCCATCGATGATGCTTCAGCCGATCTCGCCCCGGTCGCCCAAAGTTCCGGGAAAACCGATGCCATCTTTCACCCCAGGAATCTGAGTCTCCTTTGGGTGACTGTAAGACAAAAGGGGGAGGGACTCTGAAGCATGCCTTACGTGACCTTGGACTTATCCCAAAACTGAGTCTATACATTTTATAAGGCCCAAAGAGCCCTGACAAATGCCCATACCATAGACACTGTTTGCTACTCCACCTAGCTGTGACTCTATACACCCAAGCTGGCATCGCAGGACAATCCTGCTCAGAGACTCTACAGCCATCGGTTCAACTGTCTAAGGTAACTGACATGTTCACGTGAGACTCAGAGCAATATTCCATCTACCCCCTGATCCACATGGCAGGGCAGAGCAGTTCCAGGCTGACCCCAAGTGAGACATCCCATACCTGTGACAACACAGACCGTGTGACACAATTAAGAGACAAACCTCGCTTTAAAAAGATTTGATTGCAAGAATGGAGATGCTGTGGAAAAGCATGACCTACGGGACTACCGTGATAATGTGACTAGGCTCAAAGGATCCTGAAAAGTAAAGAGACTAACACGATGACCGGTCAGAAGAAGGGCCTGTCAAAACCCTGAAGATGGATCCGTGACGTCACTGCGGTCGGAAGCTAAGAATGGAACGATGCAGAAAACAAGTCCTCCTGCTTTGTGATGGATGGCTGGAGAGCACCGCTGATGATACGGCCTGGAATGAGGCCTTAAAAGAGGTCTGACCGTAAAAGTCAGAGATCAGATTCCAAAGAAGGCCTGAACTTGCAAAGGAAGCGACTGACAACTTCGGTACTCGGCTACACAGAGAAGACCTTCAAGAACCTAAGGATGATGCCTGATGCTTCCCATAAGCCCCTCGAGGGCAAGATGCAAAAACCCTAAGGACACAAAACACGGACAAGACGAACAACGTGACACAGACTGGAACTGCTCTGCCCTGCACACAGGAATCCAATGATACAAAGTAAGCCCTTTCTTTGATGCGTCCAAATAACCTGTTATAGGATACCCATTGCACTGTACTAACTTCAAAAATCCCTCTGGGCAATGCACATACTTGCACCAACTCCCAACCCCTCCTCTCTGGGTCTTTGCCCTGCACTTATCTTTCTGAGAGCCGGGGATGCGAATCCGTCTCTGATGCAAAGGAGGGGCACCTGGGCTGGCTCAGAGGTTCCTGCCATTGTGAGAGTACTCGGAGTCAACTACAAGAAAGAAAACCATACACAATATCTGAGTAGTGTGGCACGTGGTCCCAGCCCCAAAGATCCCTTTACTCACTGTCACCAAGGTGGGTCCTGGGGTTGCTGGCTCTGACCAGAGTCACACGCTGTGGCTGTCATCTTCTGGGATACCTGAGCAAGCGGGAGACAAAATCAGAGGGCATTTCTAAAGCTGTGGTGGATCCCTGCTCCTCCTGCTGCCTCCCCGACTCACCTCCAATGCCCGGATGCTCCCAAAGGTTACCTGGATGGCACCTGCGACTACTAAAGCTCAGCGCCTCATTGCTCATCCTTTTCATACTCGGAGATTGCAGATGAGGACAGCTCGAGGTGACCAAACCGGGTCAGTTGTCCCATCGGGAGGTGGTTCCTGCGGTCACGAGGTTACTCCGAGTCAACTACGAGAAAGAAAACCACAAGCAATATGTCAGTTGTGTGGCATGGGGCTGGAACCCCAAGGATCCCCCTACTCACTGTCACCGAGGCAGGTCCTCAGGTCACTGGCTCTGACCGGAGTTGGACAATGTGCTGTCATCTTCCGGGATACCTGAGCGAGCGGGAGACAAAATTAGAGGGCATTTCTAAAGCTGCAGTGGATCCCCGCTCCTCCTGCTGTCTCCCTGACTCTCCTCCAATGCTCATCTGCTCCCAAAAGTTAGCTGGATGGCACCTGCAACCAAAAAAGCTCAATCCTTCATTGCTGATCCTTTTAATATTCGGAGATTACCTACAAGGACAGCTCGAGAGGACCGAACCGTGTCTGTCGCCTCATCGTGAGTGGGTTTGGGCCCCGTGAGGCTGCGTACATCTCCTGCAAAAAAACCCCAGAGGCAAATGCGAGTATTGAGATACTGCCCAAGAGTGTGCTGCTCTCTGTGGTCAGAGGCTGCTGCCGTCACCGTGTGCTGTACCTGGGTGAGTGAGAAAAAAAGTTACGTGGTGTTTCTGAAAGTACAGGAGACCCCAGCACCTCTTCACTACCTCCCAGACTCAACTACAGTGCTCCTCCTTTGCCAAAGGCAGGCCGGATGGCACCTGTAACTGGAAAAGGTCGAGACTTAATTGATGAGCCTCGTAGTACTAGGGGACTACTGACGAGGACAGCTGAAGACCATCAAACCTAATTGTCAGGAGGCTCCGGCCCTCTGAGGCTGCACACGTTTTCTGCAAAGTAAAAAACCAAAGGCAAATGTACATACTGAGATACCACAGGAAAACCATCCTTCAGGCAGTATCTCCTACCTACTTACCTCTCCTCAACAGTGACCTCTTACCAGCAGGGTCCCTGAAGCACTGGACTGTCTGTTAGAAGGTGGCAGACCCCCTGGAAAACACAAAAAACAAAGCATGTGCACAGATTCACCACAACACCTGTAGAAGACCATCTACTTCTGTCCTGGAATCAATGCTCACCTTGCTCACCGGTACTCACCAGGATCACCTCCCCTCCGGTGCCTAGAGCCTCCTGGGCTGAGGACTCTGCATCTGAAAACAAAAACCAAACCAAGAAAATCCTGAACACATCAAGTAAATGTGGAGCCAAAAGCCACATCTTTGTGCTGATGTCAGGTGATGACCCA